TCCCACATGCCCATTTCAAAAGCTCGCTTTGATCTTCTCATTCGCTACCCCCATGTCCGTTGTGCGGGTATTCCCCATCCACTCCCTTTCCCCGATTTTTGTTCCATCCGAAAAATTAACGTTGATTCACCCAAAGCACTGAATGTTTTGCAAAGAGCCGAAATCTACATGCCGTGTGAATACATTGACTGGTCAGAATGCACTACGCCTTCTCATCGGCAAAACTTTGAAAAACATAGAATATACATTAAAATATACAAAATATACATTTTAATGATTTAAATATACAATATATGTGAGGAACTGTCTCGTTATTGAGAATTTCCAAAAACTATGCAATTTTTATTGCTTCGTATATCTCAGTTTTTTCACATCGATGTGTGATGCTAAAAAAGTTCAAAAAATCGTTTTTTTCTGAAAATTGAAAAATTAAGGCAACTGAAATAAGAGCGTTGTTTGGATTATGTTGGTGGTGGAAACTGCGTAATTTTTTCTACACACTTAAGCAAATAATGATTAATGAAATTGCTCAAAGGTATTTTAGATTCATAGAATCTTTTCTAGTTTCTGAGAAGTTGGAGTTTTGCAGCAACGACTGGATATGAAGATAAAAGTCATAAAGTCCGTGCCAAGTGCCAACAGCTCATTTCTTTCGCCGTTCTATTTGCGTTGATAAATCTTTTTACATCCGCATGAATGAGTCTGACAAGGGAAGTTCACTTAGTCGAAGTGGCGATTCGAAAGGAGATCTAAACCAATGGATAGAGCTTAAAACGCTGATCTCAGATATACCTACTACATCTGCGACGCGTTGTTCCGAAAAAAGTTATGAGTTCTAAAGCCAAATTTTGTGCATTTTGAGTCGCAAAATCATGATAATCGCTACACAAAAGTGTGCAAGCTCAAGCAAACCACCTAGTTAAGCATTGTAAATCTGAGTCGAGTTCATCCGAAAGCTTTTGAGTGTTTTTCGACCATGTTGTCCATCCGCAGATCGTCATTTCATTCCTAGATCACGCTTCCATTGTGTATACGAAAAAACCCCATAACCTCCATCTAGAAAAACGCGTCGCTTCGGAAACTTTTTGGAAATTACCAATGAATAGGACGTAAAACGATGTTTTCAAATATTTCTTCAATATATGCGACGCGTTCTTCTAGATGGAGGTCATGGGCTTCGTATATATAACGGAAGTGTGATCTAGAAGGAAATGACGGCCTGTGAATAAACAACATAGTCAAAAAACACCGAAAACGTTCGGATGAACTCGAATTAGACCTACAATGCTTACTAAGTGGTATGCTTGAACTTGCACACTTCTGTGTAGCGATTATCATGATTTTGCCACTCAAAATGCAGGAAAATTTGGCTTCAGACAAGCTCATAACTTTTTTCAGAACAAGGCGTCGCAGATATAGAAGGTATATCTGAGATCAGCGTTTTGAGCTCTATCCGTTGTATAGATCTCCATTCGAATTGCCACTTCGACTAAGTGAACTTCCCTTGTGAGAACTATTTTAGGCTCAAAATTTTGAAGTCCGCTCAAATGTTCAGGTGTTCGCAGGCTTTCAAAATCCTTCTCAATCTCATCTGGTTATTATTACATTACGTAGACCAGGACTAATGGTTTCTTCAAACTCCAGTTGTATACCTTGTCTTTGATTTACAACATTAAGCCTCTCGATCTTGCAAAAATCAAGCTTACAAATCCCGTTTTAAGTTTATTGCTGGTGTCTAGTCCACTCGCGGAATCTTTGCTGTCTTTCGCTAATTTGCTTCGACAATGTGTCTCCTGACTAGTATAGCCAGCAGTTATGCGCTTTCATCTGCTACATAATATCTCGTATGCTGAAAAAACTCGTTTTTGATACTTCAAAGTTTTCCAATCCTGAGTCACATGGGAAAACTAAGATTAGCATACGTTTTTTCTATTCTGAAAAAAGAGTTATGCAAAGAATTATTCTCATGTGGAATGCTGAAATGCACTTCCTTAACAATCATATCTTTCGAAAAACTTTTCTACAAATTCTAGTCAAAAAAGCTATTGAAATATGCTGTGAATTCATGACACAACGAAAACGTAATCGTAATCTTAAGTCTGAAAAATTTTTTAAAGTTGAGATAGAGATAAGATGAGAAAACTGAACACGTTCTATGATTTTATTTTCGGAACTCATGGCCCCGCTCGCAATTGGTACTGTGAATTACTTGGCTCCGCCCATGGCCACGCCCTCTTCTTTTTTTGTCTTTTGTTCGTTTGCGGAAACTATCCTTGTTCTTATCAGTCACTCGTATTTTAACATTCACAGTCTTATCCAGTAATAGTTCACAAAAAGATGAAAAGTGAACAAGATCATGAAACTGATTTTTTTTATTGAGCTTGTCATTTATTATTATACTTTTTATCACTCGAGCATTCTTACCGCTAAGTATCTCCTTGCAATCAGTCAAATATGGCTATGGAGCGCAAAACTTGAAAGTATGCGCTTAAGAGCCGTTTTTCACGCGCAAGTATTGTCAAGAAGATTAGTATACTACTACCATCAATTCCCCAAACCCCTTGCTATTGAATCACTATACTCATTTGAATAGAATATCATTACTAGCTAATGGTGATTTTCTAGTTAGGGGGCACAGATCTCAAATTTAACGCTGCATGGATATTTGTTTTAACGCAATCATTGTGAGCACCGCAAAGGCACTACCTCGACAGTTCTGCTGTTTCACTATATTGGTTCACTATGCCCATAACTTTAAAAAACATACCATAAGCTATTCATTGGCAAATTTGCCTTCCTCCCCTTTCCCCCCCCCCCCTCCTCGCCCTTTGTCCCCTCCCCCGTTATTTCGTGCATGTTGGACTATATTTGTTCAGCGCCCGCATTCCGACTTCAACGATCTTTCTGCGTTTTTTCGTCGTCGGGTCCTCTGCTTGGCGCCATCGTGCTCGACGAGTGACGCGCATAAATTGTTGACACTTCAAAAATACGTGATTTTTTAGAATAAATCGAGAGGTGTGGGGGGGGGGGGGAGGGAGGAGACGAGCACACAGATCGCATTGTATGTGCTCGTACTAATCCGTCTCTACATACTTAGTCTCTCCGTTCTCATATAAAAGTGTGTAGGTATTATTTTCGCGCGCCAGCGATTCATGCAAATATCGTAGTTACCGTATTCTTTACAAGTGTTTTCTGGATTTTTCTCGCATTTTGGTGCGTTTTTTGATGGTATCTCTGTTAACTCTTTTGGACACTATCTAATAGCATTATTTGACATTAGCAATTGATATTTTTTCCTTCGATGAATGCCACCAGTCAAACAGTAGCAGCTAGATAAAAGATGTATTATTATCTCTGGTTTCTTGACAAAGAGGACATTGCGGGTTCTTGTTTTAACTTAGTTTTTTCACAAAACTTACTCAGCCGAAAAATAACACACATTTAAAATAACATGTGAGGGCATTACAGTCATTGGAATTGAGAGAAAATATAAACTAAATAGATTCAATGACTCTCTAATAGTGAACAACTAGTAAAGCCGAAATTTTTACCGTATTTCAAATTTGTACCATTGCTTTCGGGTCCAGTTTCTCTCTTTCCCCCCCCCCCCTCCTCCCCCATGGCAAGACATATATATTTTCTTTTATCTTTATCTTTATTTTATCTCGTAAACGTGTGCCAAAGCCTCTGTAAGGGAAACATTGCTAGAGTAAGATACTGGCCTGTAATCTTCAGCAGAAACAAACAAACAGCGAATAAGAGCCTCAGGTGTGGAGGAAGAAAAATTTCAAAAGACATCTAAAGCTTCCTCAGAATTCCATAGAAAGAAATGATTCACTCTCTGCAAATAATCTTTTCGGGTCTTCGGGTCGTTATCGCATGCACACACAAAACTTGCCCTTATGGATGATCTTCCATCACTCTTCTGCTGATAACCAAGCATTGGCATGCATAACGCTTCACATAAGTGCCGAAGATTTTGCGCAATTTATCGCGGCGGAGTGGGGGGGGGGGGGGAGAGGGAGCAGGGTAGGAGTGGAAGTGGAAGGGGAGTGGCTTGCATGGCGTTGTTCTGGTTTGTGCAAAAAGTTAACACTTTGGAGTTAGCCGAATGCGATGCTGTTGTTCGGACAGGACGAATCACCGTCTTTTTTCTGTTAGCAACTTATTTGATCATTTGCGTCGCTTCGTTTATAAATTGACCCACTATCATCAAATTAATATTCATTATTATGTTTTCTCATCATTTCATCCATTCTCACTTAATGTTCTTTATTCTCTCTTAATATTCTTTATTCATTCCATCACATTATTTGGAGAAGTAGTCATTTTGATCATTCGATCTTTGCTCAATTATTTGAATCAATCTTTTTTAGTTCATTATCTATTTGCACCAAAATTCATTCCTTATTTTACACACTGTATTTATTTAGACTATTGCAAGTTTACTTACACATTATTAGTTTAATGGATGTTCTTATTCATCATTCTTCAAAGATTTAATCTTTTTTTACATTCTATCGCTCATTACTACAGTTTTATGTAAACTCAGTCTGTTTCTTTTTCATTCCACTTCAGTGGCTCATGCTTTTTTATCTTTTTTTTACCTTGGAAAGCTTAAATTTTTTTTCTTCAGCTCACCTGGTTTTGGGTAACTGAATCCGTCTTTTCTCCTCACATCTCTGCAGTTCTGCTTTATTTTATTCACTCGTAGATTTAGAATTTGCCGATATGTTACATTCCTTCAATCTGTTATTTAATGCAACTAAGTGACTTCCAAACCTTGAAAACATGTTGATAGATGTGTCGCGCCCCCGTATTAGTTTTGTTTTTCCATTAGTTGAATGAAATTATTTCTTAATCTGTCACATATCTCAAGAATTCTATCGCTTGTCTTCTCCCACTCATCCTCTCCTTTCTTGATCTGCAAGGAATTTGAGATCCACGCGTTTTTCTTTGTTATTTTGTAAGAGTATGTTCAAAGGTTTTTATTTCAGATAATGTTAAGCAATAAGCTAAGAAGATTATTTGCCAAATTAAATGTGGAAAAAGACATGAAAATCCAGTCTATATCGAAGAAAAAACTTCAAACGAAGAAAAAGCCAACGGTTGAGCTGCCTGACAATGTTTGGTTAGTTTATCTTTGAATTCCTTTTTTCTTAGCCCTCGTTAGCTGCTCAAGTGAGCTCAACTTTTCCTAGGGAGCTCGTACATCAGCTGACATTGTGAAACATTCGCTAGCGGAAAAGATGCTCCGTTTTCGTTTGCTCGGAGCAAATAGCTCCCAAGAGTAAAGCCGAAGAGTTGCTTGATCTTTGGGCAGTGATCTAAGAATTGGGAAGCCGATGTACTCAAAAATGGCGATGTTTACCGGAAGCACTAATCAGAAATGTTGATTTCGGGCGCGCTATTTGCAGAGATTTTGGGCTTGAATGAGCAGCGAGTGCGGTCTTTGGAATGTTTGCATAAGCAAGTGTTGCTAGGCGATAGATTCAGAACATAAAATGAGGAATAGGATTAAAGTGAATTCAAATACCTTCTTGACAAAAAAACGGTCTTGATCTTAGTATGGTTTCAAATCACAAGCAATCTAGGCACTGTAATTGAAGGTAATTTGGTCAAAATTGCCAAAGTTGGAGTAGAGTCGTAGTGGAAATCACACTAAAGGTGCCTGCACCGCATAAACTGTCTACGTAGCACTTCTCCCCTGGACGGAATCCTTTGACTAATTAATGTTGTGAACATTTTCTTACCGCTTTAATGCTCAGCTCTTGGTAATTCCCTTATTTACAACCGTTTTGAAACCGATTATTTGGTCAAAACCTGGAGTCCATACCGTTGCTGCGCATAAATAAATTACAGCACCACTCTCTGCGGGACCCTCACTTTCGAATTTTCGGATAGTGCAAAAAATAACGTTTTCGTATGGTCACGGTAATCTTTCCTAGTGCTTTTCATTAATAGTCTTTTTGGAACAATTATTAGCTTGCCTCAAAATCAAAATTTTATCTACAGCGTCACTAAGCTACTGTAACAGTTTCCTCTGGGGCCTTGGATTATTCGTCATCTCTTAGCGTTAAGAATCAATATCCTCAAGAAATCTCTGCATACCTGCTTTGACATAGCCTTCTCGAAACAGTAATTAGCAGAAAACCTCATGTGAAATCCATTGAAAATTAGTCTAAATGCGCACCAGTCTACCGTAACCATTCTCATTTTAGGAACCTCATCTTTGACTATTCGTCGCCGTTTGATGTAATAAAATGGCGACGGGTCAATAAACAATTCAAACGCATTACCGATAGTCGTGTGAAAAGGACGCTCTACCTAGATGTGTTGAGAATGGACATCACACAGATACTGCCAAAAGGAGTGCTGGGAGATGGTAGGTTCAAATTTTACTTGATTTTAGTAGGAATTTTGATGAAAGCGAGATCAGTGATGTCTAGAAACTGATTTTCAAAAATCTGGAATTCAAAATTAACAGCATAGCATGTGATGGACAGAAGTTGTTTTGAAGCACGTGCCATGTTATGCTCCATTCCAAGAATAGGGATTTCATTGAAATAATCCTCGAAAATAGTTCAATCCGCTTTGTCGCCATTGACTAAAAATCGCCAGATTATTTTTCTATCTCTATTTGCTACGTAAGCGGATTCCCTCACCAAATTTGGTCCTCGCTGTGCCTACCACTTTTTGAGAGGGGGGGGGGAGGGGAACTGTGCAGATAAGGCGCTAGTTTTTTTGATATTCCAATGCTACTTGTAAAATCTAAGGGCAGAGAATTGAACCAAAGTATAGAGTTAACAAGGGGTAACAGGGGTGTCTCACACACCGACGCTATGTACATCTATCCCTCTGCTTTCTTCTTGTTTATGATGTTTGTATTTTGAGACGCTGCTGTATCGTACAGTAAGACTGGTAGCAACGTAAATCTCAGACGTTTCAGAGGCAGTGGGAGGGGGGGGGACAATTATAGTGTAAGTATGAGAGACATGTCTCAGGATTTAAGTTTTTTGAAGTAAACATTATTTTTTCTACAAGTATTAGTTTAGAAGTTAATGTATCTGGAATGCGGGGAGCAGGGAGGCGGTAAGTCAATGCCATCTCTGATTGTTGAAGGATCAAAATTATCCATGTTGTGTCAAAATAAGCGAGGATCGATTTGTCTGAACTTATTTTCGAAAATTTGGATTCATTTAGGCAGCATGTGATCGGCCGCTAGCAGTTGTTATTGGGGTGTGCGCCATAGTAAATTCCACTTCAAAAATAGCGATTTTATGGAAAAATCTTTGAAATTCTTATAATCCCCTTTGTTTACCACCACAATCGACCAAAAATCGGCGAATCGTTTCAAAAAATCATACTAAGTATTTCTCGTGCTACCTAGCGGATTACCTCAACGCGCCACATTCAATCCTCTTTAACTTCGTGTATCATTTTTTTGGGGTGGGGGAGGAGAGGGGGGGGGAGAGAAGAAAGGGAAGGACGGATGTTTTACGCAGTGTCAAAAGCCAAGACAACGGCATAAAAGCTGTTTTTATTACACTAACAAAAGCTTGCGTAATTTCTTATCATACGTATAAGCCATCGAATTATTGATGAGCTCACCCTTGAGTGTTTTTCGCAGAGATTTGGAAGCGAAAGAAATTTTGATAAGATATTTCAAGGTGGAATGTTAGTTCTTCGATATTCCTATGCTACTATTAGAATCTGAGTACATCAGTTCAAAAATAAAGACATGTGCCAATAAATGGATGGAGTGTCTCACCAAACATACGATATGCAATTCAGTCCTTTATTTTCCATTTCTTTTTGAAATATATTTGTACTGGAAGATACATTTTGTACAGCACGAGTGGTGGCCACCATCTCAGGATTACTTTTTGAAACAAGAATTTATTTTTTCTGCAACTATCGATTTCCCCGTAAAATTTTGTATTAAAGGAGGGGGGTGATCAATCCGAAACAAGTATGTCAGCTTGTTGCTGAAATGTATTCTACAAATACACGAATACCTCGGGCTATTGAAATAAAAATATTTTTGGCGAAAAAATACTGAGAGATTATTTTGTAACCACTCGACTTTGCCGGTTATTTGCATGCCGTAATCATACGGCGGTGTGTGATCTACAGTAATTCTAACTGCGCCGCAGCGCACATCGCTGTTGATTGTAATCTTCTTTGTCTAAAGATGCGAAAATGGAATTTTTCGAGGAACACAGCACTACGAAAATTTCACTGTTAGTGTGCAGTCGTCTCTTTTCCGCATGGACATACTGCCACTGTTGCACATACATTTTTGATCTGATTTATTATCTCTAAATTGACAGAATGTCACTAATTGCATTCCTAATTTTTCGTGACATTTGCAGTTTTGTAGTTCTGGTTACCATGAATTATTATCTACTTACATGTTTCCATTGAATAGTCTTTCACGAGTTACTTTTTGTCACTTATCAAGAAAATGAGAAAAAGTCTGTCTCGGACATAGGAGGACAGGTTTCTGAATTAATCAAAGGAGGTGCTATTTGGGATTTCAAGAATCTCTGAATATAAACGAGATATTGGGGCTTTACGGACAATCTTATCGGCATAAAGAAGAAGTTTTGGAGTTTTTCTACTGGCAACAGAAGTCGAAAGTTCAGAATTACTACGCCAGAACTTCTGGGAGGCTCTTTCCATGAACATGATTTCATCAATTTCGCTTATCTCGAACATAATATGGTAATCTAATACATGCTGGAAAGACTTTAGGGAGAAAGTTCTTCGGTAATTTTTACTGCTTGTGGGAAACTTGAACCAGCATCACTTTTCTAGACTCTGTATGTTTTTCTGGAACCGTTACCATAATCTCGTCGTGAAATTTTACTTATTTTTTAGTTAAGTGGAGCTTATAGATGGCATTATCGTTGAAATATCCGTGCAAAACTAGTCCAACGCTCAACAACTACTCTATTCATAATGTTTTTACCTATCTATCAATCATATCTCATGACAATTATTATCATTTCGTAATTCGGCTGTCGATACGAATTTGCACGAATTTTTGACGTGAAGGGCTATCGCGGGCCCCGTACGCTCAATCCTGTTACGTGATCACGTGCAGGGGCCATAAACACTCCACTTTGGCACTTACGGGAAACTGTTGAGACTACGGAGGTGCCAACTTTTGCGGACAAGGGGGTGAGAAGTCTAGACTTCATTCAGGATATCGGATGCATTGAAGCTTTGGTTAGAGGAGTCTGGAAGTGGGATCGAAGCAAATTGTAATTGAAACAAAAGTAAATCACTTTTTAAGCAACATTTAAAACCTAAACACAAAGCATTTTGATCTACAAGGACAAGCAAAGTCATTTATATAACGAAAAAGCATTTTCAGCTGCAAAAATCTGCAAAGATCTTTGTTTGGACTGAATTAATGCGTGGATGGTGTTTTTGACGGGAAGTTCCGAAAATTTCTGCTATGCTCGGAAATTCCGACTAACTACCGCGCCCACAATTAAATCCTTCCAAGTCAAACACATTTGATCTCGCTTGCACTGATCAAAAAATATATTTAGCACTGCTTAGTTTTAGTACATTTTTTATTACAGGAGACTTCTTCCGACACCCTACTTGCAATTTATTAGGGCATCATGAATATCGTTCTCTTCTGCTTGCCGCTCATGCGCAATGGACAGCCAAAGAAGCGGCAAAACTGCTGCGTGCGATTCAGTTCTTTGGCAAAAACGCTCACACCATCATGGTAATAGAACGTCTACACTTGCGACTACCATTGATTGATTCACCTTGCAGATCGATTCATCAATAGCTGAGCTGTGTGTGGCAGGACAATGTACGACAGACATACCGGCATGGTTTGCATTCCAAGCCGCAGCCGGTGGTACCGATCCGACACCCGATTCCGATGGGATTCAGGTTAGTCAAAAATCTCCATCTTCTTCAAAAGTATTGTTGTTATATCCTTCTGTTTTCAGACCCCAGGATGGCTCCAAAGTGAAGCGAAATTCAACATGTCTACATATCTTAGTCAGTCTGATGGTGATTTACCGCAGTGGAACCCAACAACGCAACGCATTCCATTAGGGCCGCTCTTCCCGAAAGCCAAAGAGGTACTAATCATAATCTACATAGATGCAGAGAGTATCAAACAAAGAAGAATATATGTTATAAAAGGGATATTGCGACTATTGAACACTATTCTACACTCGTAATCATATAAATTAGTCTTGAAATAAATCTTAGTAGAGGCTGGCACTTTTTGGCTTCTTCCCCTCCCCATCTTCACAATCTTTTGTTGGGCTTATTGCCTTAAGTTCGTCCTTCTAAAATTTGTTGGCTGATTTACAAGACTTTGTTAAAAGTGCTTGGCGGAGGATTTTTTTCTGCACAATATGAAAAAATAAAAGAAAGCGAAAATTTTTGAGAATCTAAAAATCAGTACATTCATATATCATGTGCAACTTCCACGTTGTATTGTTACATGTCCAAAAATCAATTCAGCGAGTTTTATAGAGTTTGATGTCGTATTTTGCAGATCACATTCCGTTGTACTATTCCGCAATTACGTCGTATGCGTCGGCTATCCGTCTATCGCGTGCCGGCCACCATGATCTTTTCACCAGAACATCTACAAGTGTTCCGACTGGCCATCATTGGTGGACGTTCCAACGCACCAGCCACGATAAAACTACGTCCATTCCGTGAATGGCTTGACGCTGACCAACTCGGTAACAAGCTTTGCGTACAATTTTGCTGAGTCACCTAGAGACGGAGTTATGGGCCTTCGTTTTTACTTCCTCCTCTAAGTAAGGGCAGTTCTAGTGCCTTACCCATATATAACGATGCTATATTGAAAATCATGTTGTGATATACACCACCACCGATAAATCGCTCGCAATGCATTGCCAAGAAATTTCTGTAAAAGAATTAATCCTTGTATATACTGTTGCTTTTCCTTTTATGCACCTACCTGTATACAGATGTATAATAATTAGGGAGATGTATAAGTCTGAGTTATTTGGTTGTGTCTAAGTGTTGTTTTTTTACCACTTTTGCCACGTTGATTAGATCTTCTAAGAAATTTTTGTTCACTACATTTTGTAGTTTATGCTCTGATTTATTAGCTGATCTCCGTGGTCACTGTATCACCGCTATGCAGTAATATAATAAGCATTTCCTCTTGACTTAGCTTTTTTTAGTGGACACTTTTGCAGACCTACCGTATGCTACCGTGATCAAGGGCAGCTTAGCATCGCAGTCTACACAACCGCATCAAAAGTAATCCATTTTTTTGACATTGCGAGCGACGAGCTTACGGTCAAGCCAGACTGAGTGGCGTAAGAGGCGTAGGCGGCATATGCAACGTGCGCATACGTGCGTAAACCTATGGGGCGTACGCTGCGTACGTCGCTTACGCCGCGTACGCCGTGCAGTACTGCTCAACCCTTAATACGCAACGCAAAAGCAGCTCAAGCTCACGGTAGCATACTGTGCTGTGCAAAAGCACCACACAACTTTTCATTTTCCCAGTTCTTTTCCTGTTTAAAGCAGGACGTTTCAACACCTTCTAGGAACTAGTCTGATTTATTTGCACCTTCCTTGTAACTCTCATGGCGATGATCTTTGACCACTTTGCAATCACTAGTGTGTCGTTCCCTATATCGATTTATTGATTTGATTTGCCTCTCCCGTACTATAGCAACGGCTTCGACTGTTTTCGGGTAAATTTTGTACCGTACACCTTTCACTTAATTCACTTTATACACTTTTACACTTCTATTCTATGCCTGGTGATGTGTACATTCGTCCAAAAATAAATATATTTATAATACTTGATGCAAGCGTGTTTTTTCATAAGCGTTGAGCCTCGTTTCATAGAACAAAGATTCAAGCAGAAATTGATTTTCCTTGGGAGGAGCTCTTTGATCGATGAGTTAAAAACGATTGTGCCTGTTATTGAAAACAATATCTGCTTTGTTACTGGAACTTTTCAAAAAGCTAAATCAGAGCGCGGATGCTCTAAACATTACTTCCAATACATGTGTACCAGCACAACAATTCCGATATGAAATAAAAAGAAGACATCGGTGACTTGCATAGTATTGACAGTCTAATTGATAAGCAACATTCTAAAGATATTCGGAAGAATCAAAACGAAACTTCAAAGCATTTTATGACTCGTCAACAATCAGCGCGAGTTTGTGAAAAGAGTCACCATCAATGGCATCTACTTTGCCTGCAGTTTATAGAGGAGGTACAGACTTAAGCAGAAGGAGTCACACACAGTCGTCCTGAATCCACAGAAACTTTTACAGAATGCCTGATGAAGTTATACGGTGGTATTCACGAAAGCACACGGTGCCAGAAGATTGTATATGATGGATTAAACTTATCTATCACAAAATTTCAAGTCAAAAACGTCTACAGGATCGTCGAAGGAATCAGAATAAGATCGGAGTAGATCAGGGTTCGGTTCTTTCTCTCCTAAGCTGGTTTCATACTGATCCATAAGTTCTGGAATAGTTCCAGCACAGCACCTATTTCGAGCGTTGCTGAAACTGTTCCGGAATTTACGGATCAGCATGAACCCATCCTTAACCACACACATGGATGCCGTGATAGCATCATTCAAATCAGAAAGTGAATACTAACGCATTCAATCCAAATGTGGTAGCTAATTGTCCAGAAAGCACAGGAAACAAGGCTGCGATGGCATGGCCATGTTCACGGAAGAAAGAATAGCAACTTCACAAGGTTAGCGCTGCTTCCTTCTGTACAAGCACCACATGAAAGTCTGAGTAGTAGGCAAAGTTGAGTGGACAAAATCGAAGCCGGTTTGCGAGAAACTGGAGGAGATGAAGAACTTGGTCCAGACAAGAAGTGTATGGAAACATCTGACTCGGGAACCAACCCTACATAAGCGAGATACATGCTGGGTTGGAAAAATTTTGAGACCAGAAGGGAAGACAAAGTGTGAACACAATTGTACGTCATTGTTTGAAAGTTTAATTTACTCGGCACGCAAGCCCTATCGTCGTGATTGTCTGTCTTGAGAACGCTGTCCGAAAATCGAGTTTGTCAGAGTTCAGTTTTACCGAAATGTGGAGGAACCCTTCAAGAGTCGAAAAAATACTGCTTAAGCGGAGGAGTTATCGGACCTTTGATAGTCTGCTATAGCCATATATAGCCTCCTTTTGAATTGTTTTGGAGTCAGTCACGGTCTCAATATAGCATTTGTTGAAAAGGCCGAAAGAAACTGCTTAGTCTTAGACACAAAATTTACACTCATGTCAGCCTGATTTTTGATGCGCCCCTTGCATATTTATCACTGTCTTGTTCTTGGCGATGTCGTCTTCGCTGTTAAGCTCATTAGCTATCAAAGACATAGCTGGAAATCAACTCCGAAAAGGATCATTAACTAGGAAGGAACCTTGATTGGAGTGACCTTTCCAGTTGATATGCATACAGTCTTAAACAGCACTGAACGCTAATTTCGAATCCTTCTTCTTTAATTCCGGAGCGCCTCTGGGTGAGGAAATACGAGCGTTTCCTACGTCAAAAATCAAGCGCCTAATCAGAATAAAATCGATTGTAACAGTCCTGCCATCTCCATCTGGAACAATGGCGAGCACGGGGAGCAAGCAGGAGGTTTTCTTTATGTAGAGAGGTTTAATGGCGTTAGTGTTCTATTCGAGCTCACAAGAAACTTCTATGCATGGTTTTTTTTCTGACCACGCGTTCATGTTTTTCCTACAAGCTCTTTAACCCGTGGTACAGAGACGCTCCGCAGATATGGAACAGAACATAGATGAATCAGTTTTCGATGTACTTCAAAATCATTTGCTCACTTCTGAATAGGCCACTGCAACCGAGGTTCCTACCCCGTAAGAGAATCACATTTTACACGCGGCTTCACTAGATATTCAGATAATGGAAGAAGTGAGCTTGGTGACGTTGTCTACACTAAAGGCAGAAGTGAGTTGAACTAAAGGGGAAAGGTATACATACGCGTATACATATACATGAGAATTCGGAGCAAAACATGTAAAAAGAAGATTGCAAGTTTGCGCGCTTCAAAAGGGTCTGAAATCAGCATTGTTACAGAAGTGGACTTATCTAATTTGACCAATGATCCGTTCGAATTTGGTCCGTACCAATTTTGATCTGCACAATCAAGTATGGAGCCAACCCGCTTTATGTCTTGCACTTACGGGTCGTGATGCTATAATGATGTGGTCTCTTGCGTGCTTTCATCGTTATTTTCTTTCTAAATTCTATGAGATTCTTTTCGCAAAGATCGATCTTTATGAATAACTCTCTTACTGCTGAGATCCACTCACTTTGTTTACCATCTACACCTTTTATCTCGGAAATAAAACTCGCGTAAGCGAAGCTCTTGGCCATGTTCGGCGTGATTTCGAGTTTGATAGAATAAAGACTGTGGATGATACAATGGTTGTGCAGCGGTAGGGCATGCCATAGTATCCTGATAGCGGTGATAAAGATAGGCCAACCGATATTCTTTGCAATAACAGCGAACAATAACGAGCTCAGTAAATATATTCATTCCTTGCTCAATATACATAAACCATGCACATGTACCAGGCAAAGTAGAAGAATATACAAAGTTAATTTAAAGAAAGTGCCTGTACTATACCCGAAAATATTGGAACCATTGGTTTAATAATACAGGACAACAAATCAAAATTGATGAATAGATATGTAAGACCGGCAGTATTAATTACGAGGTGATCAAAGATCAACGCCATGAGAATCTTTGGATGTTTGTGCAAATAGATGTCATTAATATCTAGGATGGTCCAAGATGTACTGTGTAGCTTAAAGACAGGTAAGATAACTCAATACCACAACTAGAAAAGTAACGCGGTCCTTTTGCGCTGCTAACGCAACCTCGCATCCAGAGCCGCATGCGACTGCGGATGCAATGCAATGATGATAAGAGTCCTTCTCTTGAAATTGCATTACAGGGTGCACCGCATGACTCAGAATTGCATTATGATCCCCTAATCCGGGGTTACGGCAGCCTATTGCACAAGGGTGCACAAAGGTCCACCAAGTATGTTTAAAAAATCTAGTTGTTGTGGAAATGATTAGCAAGTTTTTGCATAGCGGTGATACAATGACCATGGAGAACAGCTAAAAAAGAGCATGTGCTTACGATGAAACGTAGTGAGCAGCACAAAATTACAAAGATCTATTCGTAATGATGAAGAGTGCAAAAATTAAGCTCTAAAAACACAACCAAGTAACTCGAATTTAAAGCACTCGCCGATCATTATACGGACATATACAGATAAATACACAAGAAACAGAAATTGTAGTTCACAAGAATAATTGTGAGCAAAACTCTTCGGACAGATTGTCAGCATGCATTGGTAGCTTTGTATCTACGCTAATGCTCTGTATTGCATTCACTAAATTTGTTAGAGTATCACATACGAAGGGGTAAGGCGCTCGAAGTGCCCTTACTCACAATTAGGGGAGGAAGTAGTGAAGTGGTAAGGGTTCCTTCATAATACGCAGCAGCCTGCCGCAGCACGCAGCAGCAGCCGCGTCCTGCGGCGTGCGCCGCTGCAGTCGTAATGAAAATGTAAGCTCGCTCGCTGTGAAGGAACCTCCCGGAAAACACGAAAGTGCAGCAAATATAGATGTACATCCATAACTGGCGAAGGTGCTGCCGTGAGCGTATACTTTGCTAGCGTATACTTTACCGCAGGACACGGCGTGTGCCGCAGCACGCCGTGTCCTGCGGAGTAGTATGAAGGAACTCTAAGTGTCAAAACGAGGACCTATGATACGTCTTTAGTTGGTCACCTCCAGCAGAACTGTACACATAGCTTGTTACCGAGTTGATCAGCTCTAAGCCATTCACGAAACGGACGTAGTTTTAGGTTATTTGGTGCGGTGGTACGTCCACCAATAATGGACAGGCGAAATACTTGGAGTTGTTCTGGTGAGAAGATCATCGTAGCCGGTACATTGTAGACTGCCAACCGACGCATGCGACGTAATTGCGGATCAGAACAACGGAATGTGATCTATAATTACAAAACTGAGTGTATTTCCATCAACTTCGAGTACAAAACTTTTTCTATTAGGTTGATTCATAATTAATGCACGTTTTCTAAACTTCAACTTTCAACCGGATAATTCTTTTTCGAAAAGACATTTCTGGGCGCAATAAAAACTACTATAACCATCAAATCAGTGGCTATAAAACAAATACTTTTGCGTGACCGTATTTATTACAAGAAAGATTACCTGGCCTGAAGATTGCCAACAACTTTCTTCAGCAGCCTTTTTTTTGAGAGAGCATAACTTATGCTGAAATGAAGTAGGATAAAGTAGATTTCGCTCATCATATAGCCAAGGTCTCTTGAGCAGTAACGCCAAGTTTGGATTTTACGTAAAATTTTTGAAAGAAAATATCACAAAAAAGTCGAAAGTACTTACTTTTTTTGGCATCTTGGCGGGTTCAAAAATCGGTCATTTTTGAAATAATTTCATTTTTCTCCAAAGGAAAGTGAGAAAACCCTAGCGCTTTTCTACCATCAAATCAACTAGGTCTACTCTTGCTGAATAGTCTAAAGGACCTGCAATCGCCTTTTGCTTCAAAGTTTTATATGGCACGGAAGGGTCGCGACGATCATTCAAGTTCGCAATTGAATTTCTCGGCTCAGAATCCATGGAATATCTTGCTCAAAAAGCATCTTGTAACACAAAGTTTCATAATCCTTACGCATATTTTTTGAAATTAATCCAGCCATTCCTCATGAATTTAGGGCAGAAAAAGTGAAAAGCAAAAATTCTGGGATTTAGTCTCTTTCATTTATAGGCTTAGAACTTTGGAACGAAAGGAGGTTTGCGAAAGCAAAGGCCCGCATAAGAAATTAGAAAAAACGCTTTTTTAGAAAGCATAAAAAGTTTTTGAGGAAATTGGTTAGTCATCAAATACTAGCTCTTGCAAGAAGAGGTAGGAAAAACGTGCATTAATTATGAATCAACCTAATACATATATTTGCCGAAAATCTAGTTGCTCTTAACCCGAAAAGCAACGTTGCCCTGAATTCACTCCAAAACATTACTCGGCGAATCTACAGGAATCAGTAGTGCGTTTCAGTGGATCCTGCGTGACTCACAAACGTGATGGTCGTTGTTTCATTGGACACGCAACAATTTTTTAGCCGATCTCCATATGAATATGAATTTTACCAAATGTTTTGAAATCATTGCATTTTTATTCTTCAAGTTACGAAGGTGTTACATTATTTGAGGAAATCTATGTGAGTCTAATAAGAGAGTCAGCAATTGCAGCTAGAGATTTCAGAGAACTTGGAGAAAAGGTGGCTTAGATCAAATCTGGAGTAGAGTTTACATCAAAGAGCACCTTTGCGGACACCTAACACAAACCACGCAATACACATGCACTTTATAGCAGTTATCCGCGAGTGAGCCTGTCATCGGTACAACGCTCCCTACATGCGAACTTATGTTCGAAACTTTTCCAACACTAGATTTATTGCTTTGAGTACGAATTTTAACCTCTTTGGCCTTCGGAAATAGTGGTCCCAACGGAATACGTTGCGTTGTCGGGTTCCATTGCGGTAATTCTCCATCAGACTGACTAAGATATCTGGACATATTGAATTTCGCTTCACTTTGAAGCCATCCTGAGGTCTGGAAACAAGGGACATAGACATCATTACCTCAGGTTGGAGAATCTAAACAACCTGAGTCCCTTCGAACTCTAGCGTCGGATCTGTGCCACCGGCTGCGATTTGGAATGCAAACCATGCCGGTATATCTGTTGTACATTGTCCTGCCACACATAATTCGGCTACCGACGAATCGAGCTGCAAAGATTAATCATTTATCGGTCAGAGATCATATCAGCAATGTTCACTTACCATGACAGTGTGAGCGTTTTTGCCAAAGAACTGAATCGCACGCAGTAAAGTTGCCGCTTCCTTTGTTGTCCACTGCGCGTGAGCGGCAAGTAGAATAGAACGATGTTCATGATGCGCTAATAAATTGCAAGAAGGGTGTCGGAAGAAATCGCCTGCAATAATGAGTCTATAATAAAAAGTGTTACTGAAATATAATTTTGTTTGAGTGTCGGAAGACATCACCCACAATAATGAGTACATAGTCTGAACTATTGCTAAATTATAGTTCTGTTGATATAAATGAGATCAAATGCGATATATGAGTAATATTGTGAAGTGGAAATTTTTCGAAACTTCGGGTCAATGGCGAAATTCCCTTGAAAGTTCCGGTCAAAAATCCACAGTATTTTTGTTATGTAGATGAGTTTTCCTTGCAACTGCGGTTCGAAATTACCTACGTTTTGTTATCGCGTAGAGACTAATTTTTAGTGACTTCCAGCTCTAAAACTGCTGTGATCCTAGTTCCCCTTAGTCAAAGCCCTAATTACATCCGATATCGCGAAAGGTCAAAAAGTCTAGACAGCCCTCCCCCACAGCTGCTGCCCTACTAACAATAAGTATAGAAGGCATGGCCCACAAATCCGTTCACATCAAGAAATTCTTGCGTCTCGACAGCCAAATCATGAACTAGATATAATTATTATGCGATATGAGTGACGATTGGCGAAAAACTGTCAGTTGAGTTTATGAGAGTAGATGATGAACGTGGGACATGGATATTCCGACGATAATACCATCACAAGGTTTTCACGACTTCAACGAAAACTTGGTGTAAAAATTTCGCAATAAGAGTATGTCAGCAATTTCAGAAATAATTACAAAATTATAAAAGGGATGGTTTTTAGCAGCCCATACGCAACCCAAACTTCGAAATAAACCTTTTATTAAACATCTTTCACATCTTCCATCAAACTATGTCTAAAACAAGCAAAACCTCTAAATCATGTTCTACAAGAGTTTTGCGCGTAGTTCTTCGAATCCAACTATGGGTTGAGTGTAAGTTCTTCAAAACCTCTGATTTAGCAGATAGTTGTCATCAATCACCGCTGCGTGATTAAATTTTGTGTAACGCTCAAATGTCTTGTTTAAAGCCAACAAATCTCTTGGAATACGAAAATAGCAACTATTCATAGCAGCTATAGCAATTTCTCAAACAGACACACACTCGAAAACCTGCTCCCTTATGTCCGAGACAAACTTTTTCTCATTTCCTTGATTTTCAGTGACAAAAATTAACACGTGAAGATCACCCCATTTGAAAAACGTATGGGAAGAATCTATGCAAAACTGCAGTGTCAAGAGAACTCATGAACGCAATCAGAGTGTGTCAGTCAACAGAGATTGATAAATCGGTTCAAAAAAATATTAGGCCGTCCCGAAAGTTCTTGCGCACGATTTTCAAAAATTTGTAACTTTGCGCTATTTCAACGGATTTGCATGCCTGTAATTTAATTAGAAAGAATAAGTCTTTCGCTTTCAAATGCTTTTTTTGCAGAGCTTCTGACTGACATTGGATGCGGAGATAAAAATGGAAAACTAAGACCATATGAGCTTTGACCATTTTAAGTTAGGTCGCCAAAAATCGGAAACGCTGCAAAAAAACCTGAAATCGTCAGTACTTGTGTTTTTTGGCCTAATCTTTGCAATTGTGAAGAGTATGTGCTGTTTGGACGTCTCTGTGAGAAGTTGTGATTTTCGCGAAAATCGACAAATTAATTAATTTTGGCGTTTTCCATAGTAAACTCGATATTCATAACTTCTCACAGAGACGTCCAAACAGCACATACTCTTCACATTTGCAAAGGGCAGGCCAAGAATCATAAGTACTGACTATTTCAGATTTTTCTGCAGCGTTCCCGATTTTTGGTGACCTAACTTAAAATGGTCAAAGCTTATACGGTCTTAGTTTCCCATTTTTATCTTCGCACCCAATGTGAAGCAGAAGCTCGGCAAAGAGCATTTGAAGGCGAAAGACTTATTCTTTCTAATAAAATTAAAAGCAAGCAAATCCGTTGAAAAAGCGCAAAGTTACAAATTTTTGAAAATCGTGCGCAAGCACTTTCGGGACGACCTAATATATATTCAGCAACATTGAGAGTATGCCCATGATTGATTAGAAACTACTATAGCTTGCAACTTCACACAGCATGAGTTTTTTTGAATATTCGCGCATTTTTGCACAAAGAAGATTACACCAGCAACAGCGATGCTTGCTGCAGCGCAGCGAGGATTACTGTAGATCACACAAGCGATACGGAGGCTACAGTAGGTAAATAATTGGCAAAGTTAGTGCCAAATCATCTGTGTTTTTGCACCAAGTGATTTCCGACCCTATTAATTCGCAAATCCGTAAAATTTAGAGTTGTTCTCAGCAACACGCTAGCAATTTCAAAAGTTAATTACGGTATTCAGGAATTTTTAGACTCTCCGTTTTCCCTTGCCCTGCTTTCAACATTTCCCATACATTACAAAACTTTAAAATCGATACTTGCAAAAGAGGTTAATTTTATTAGGCTGTTTACTAAGTTTTGCAACTACTTTTGTAACTTCTTCCACTTTGCATAAGAGGGACTCAAATTTTATCATCACATGTAGGTCGTGACGTAAGCCACAAGTGCAGCCACAGTTCTGCAAAATTCTGACGACGCCGGGGGTTACGGTAGGTATTTGTATGAGAGAAAATATTACAGATTATCACAAAATTGGTTGAAACTTTGCGTAGATGGATCATCTGACATGCTAATCACGAAAACGATATTGGTTTTGCATGGTAAGAGCTTTTTGCAAGGTTACGATAAGCTTACGATATGGAGTCTTACGCTAAACGAGACATATTCGGCAGGTCAGATAACTCCATCATGCAAAGTTTTGGCGAATTCTGAGACTACGACTTCTAGTGATTGACGGTTGTCCCTAAGCAGCTTTGCGTACCACGGCTCGTCAACTTTGTTCAACTTTGTGAGGACACCAAATCTTGAGTTGCCTTCGAATTCCATTTCTTCCATACTGCGCTAGATGACTCATCCTTTAGCAACAATTTATGTACAATTTCGGATTGGTATGCATGATCCAGGTTGGGAATGGCTTTATTTTCACTTGCCCCTTAAAAAACTCTTAAAAAAAAAGAATCTTTTCTATCTTGTCACAGAAAGCGAGCGGCTTGTGCCAGTTTATAGCTCACACGGCAGTCTACAAAATGTCAAAAATTGAGCGCGCCAGTATCAAAAAGCGAGAACCTACGGACTCAGCTGCAAAACTTAGTGAACAGCCTAGTATTTCACAAAACCCAAATTCTGACATGTTCGTCGTACTTACATTGCTTACATTAATCTCCCCCTCTGAAGTTTCTGAGATTTACAGGGCTTATCAAACTATCAACGAAACACCTTGTTACCTTTTACCTCTATACTTTGGCCAATTAGTGTCACTAGATTTTATTAGGGGTCGGAAAGTAATGGAACAGCTTTTTCTACATATTGAGATTTTTTATTGCGATCAAAAACAAGCAGACTGCAAACCAAACCTCACTACATAGGCGACCTTCGTCTATTATTCTGGTGACGCGTTAAGGCTTCTACCCATAACCTAAACATGGTGCCGTAAAGAACTCGAACAGGGTTTTTCAAACATTTTTCAATCTTGCGCTGCTATACCGTAAAGTTGTAGAGCAAGCGACATACCATTCAAAAGAGCTCTTCATGCTGTTTCAAATTGTACAATAAATATAAAGGATTCTTTTTTATTTTCAGATTAAAAAAGCAAAAACTTGAAAAATTGCAATTTTTCAAAAAGCAAAAATCATGTTTTAATCTATATTTTCCGAAGATAAATGAAAATTGAGATAATTTGCATATGGATGGAACAACGTAAAGATGGTAGCCAGAAAGCATATTACTCAAAGGCAGTAACACATACCTTCGTTTACGAAAATGCTGCTAAGCATGTCTCATAACTTTAAGTGTTGAGGTCAGCAAGCCATCGTGGATTTGGTGATGTTCCCCCACCCACTGCAGTAGTGCTACTTTGGATGGCTTCACATGTTTGACTGCGCATTTACTTCTCAAAGTTCAAATTGGTCACAGTGATTGACCTCGCATTCTAGCAAATTTGAAAATTAGTGAACATGTCAATGGCCTTTATAGATATATGCTGAAAAAGAATATTGGCCCTTAGCAAACCCTCCGTCAGTGCATCTCCTCTGAGGAGAGCCTTGGTTGGCCTTACGGCGCCTCGGGGCGGTGTCAAGCTAGCCACTGGTCCGGATGCGGATCGTCTTGTAGGCATGATAGAAACAGCGTGTTTTCAAAGAAAAAACAGCTCGGGAGATTGTGCAGTTTTGGTCAAATGGCTAAAGCTAGTGTGATACACACGGCAGCAGCAGGGTTCGCGACCGGCAGGAGCCGACATTTTTGGCTATATCGCCGGGGCAATCTTTGATAGCAGCCACTATCACCAAAAACTAGATGGTGGGCGCTGTCTTTGCTGCGCAAACGAGGACATAAACCGAATACAGTAACTTAACATTAACAAAAAATCATGATTTTTAGAAGATAAAGAGAGAGTTTGATTTCTATTTTAAGCATTCTTCGAAAAATATGAAGATTTGATCGACATAGCCAAACATGTGGAAAGAACCCGATACCCCATTTTTTCTGCGATCAGCTGTTCATTGATTATCCCCATCCGTATGTCCCCTTATTTGTGCAATTTCTAGCACTGTTATCAGCAGAATTACCCAGCTGACGTGTCCCGTAAGTTACTCACGATCAACTTACGGGATTTGTGTCTGCGCCTCGTTGCAGACACGCTATCTCGTAAGCCAAGCCGACGGCGACGGCTTAGCTTAGGGCAGGGAGCGCAGCTCATTGCGGCAGCTGGCCGCCGGCCCCTTGGCTGTCAGCTCATCGTCCATTCTTAATGCACTGTGGCAAAGGGGATCGTAAGATTAGCTTATCGATCTCTTCTGAGAGGGTCAGAGCAGATCATTTGAGCTGAGAGGAGGTTTACTGCGAGCCAATATATACTGACATTTTTCAAAATCAAAGTATAGAATGAATCTATTTTGAAAATTCTGCAATTATTATTTAATGTTCCATTACTTTCCGACCACCCTAATACAAGTAGCATTAAAATTTTAGAAAAAAACTAGCGCCTTATCATAATTCCTTATCAACAATTTTTTCTTGCATCAAAATTTCTTCGACAACTTTTAAGCAGTGGCTTACACGATTTGATAGACGACTACGTAGGCATTTGGTAGCGCAATAAAAAAAAACTATAATGCCTTTCAACGATGCACAATTTTCCTCTCCTTGTCCCTCGCTAAAAGTGGTAGGAGAAGATAGCGAGGACCAAGTCATCGAGGATCAAATGCGACTGAGGGAATCCGCTTACGTAGCAAAGAAACAGATGAAGATTTAGTTGAAGAATATGATCTCTAACGATTTGGCGACTTTTAGTCGGATATGTCGACAAAGCGGATTGAATCAAAACTGCTATCAAAGTCAGCCTTCACATGCTGCTAATTTTGTATTTCAAATTAAAAAAAACAATTTTTAGACTGCACTGGTGTCGATAAATCAAGTGAAATTCTAACCTACCATCTCCCATCACTCCTTTCGGCAATATTTGTGTGGTATCCATTCTCAATACATCTAGGTAGAGCGTCCTTTTAACACGATTATCGATAATGCGTTTAGATTGTTTATTGACTCGTCGCCATTTTATCATATCGAATAGCGACGAATAGTCAAAGATGAGGTTCCTAAAATAAAAGTCATTGTGGTAGATCAGTGACCTGGTACTTCAGTTTAGACCGATTCTCTAGAATTCAAATATTGGCGGCGTTCTGCTAGAGATTACTGTTTCAGAAAGGCTGTATCAAAGCCACGCAGATGTGTCCGCTTTCTTGGGAAAAAAGGCTTCTGCCACGGGAAGAGGTGATGGAGGACCGGAGATGTGATTTAGGAAAAAAACATTCATGGTATATCTCTGATACCATGCGCGCAGTTTGGAGTACTTGTGATGCATTTGAACTTTTCGATTTTTAAGCTTAAGCTACATAGCACTTGTTTCTGGACGGCAAATCAAGAAAAGCGCAAGACCGTTACATTGGATATACTGGAATGTCATTTTTCTTTCCTTTTGAAGATGAGGATCTTGCGCGGAAGAGTGCTACGGTAACTGCGGAAATGCGTATACGATCATTTCCATTGACAATCGGATCGGTTTCTGGTAAGTAATTACCGTTCTGAGGCTGGTACAATAAGAAAAGCTTCAAGAAGTGTTCTTAGCATGTGCAGGAGTAATTTTTGCCTCATGAAAATCAGATGCGCAGAAAGTTTAGGAGTTATGGTTTCTGGAAGAAAAGCTGGTAGTGCATTAGTTGAACGCGCATGTATATTTTTTAGACCATATTATGATTTCGATTTTGGCGTTTTGGCCATGTTTCGAGATAGCTGTATAAGGGAAGCACAAAGAGCTGGCGGTTACCGTACCATACCGTAAGCATGATGTTCATTGCTTTGAACGAAGATGAATGGTTATACGAGTTTTTTAAAGGGGAAGTGTCTTCGTGCTTTTATATTCAAATTCGACCTACTAGGACCAGTAATTTTTGATATTCCTCCTCAATTTTCAGTTCAGTTTTTGGGCTAGCGTTGTATCCCTCCTTTGTTTTTCCAGCGCCTAGCAACATTTGCTTAGGCAAACATTTCCAACACCACAATTCGCTGCTCCTTCGAGCCCAAAATCTCTGTGGAAATGGCGTTCCCAAACTTGACACTCCAGATTAGTGCTTCCCGCAAACATCGCTGCTTTTTTTGAGTACATCGGCTTTCCTAGCTCATTGTCCAAAAATCAAACACCACCTCTTCTCTTTACTCTCGAGAGCTATTTACTTCGCTAAGCATCTTTTTCACTTTCGTGTGTTCCAAAATGTCAGCTGATGTACAAGCTCTTAAGGGAAAAGTTGGGTTCACATAGACAGTGCACGTAGGACTGGCTGGGAAAAAGGGAAGTCAAAAATAAACTTACCAAACATTATCAGGCAACTCGACCGTGAGCTTTTTCTTCGTTTGAAGTTTCTTCTTTGATTTAGACTGAACTTTCATGTCTTTTTCTAGATTCAGTTTGGCGAATATTCGTCTTAGCTTAATGCTCAACATTATCTGAAAACAGGAACCGCAAATCACCAACCCAAGAGAGAAATTAATAGAATTTCACGAATTCGCGGATAAAAGAGAGCGGATGATGAATGGGAGTGCCATGCAATAGAATTCTTGAGATATGTAAGATATTAAAAATATTACAACTCCATTTAATTAATTGAAAAACAAAACGGATGCGGGGTGCGACACATCCATTAACATGTATTCGAGTTCCGGGGATCACTTAACTGCATTAAAACGGACTGATGGAATGTAACATATCTGCGAATTGTGGATCTACGAAGGGGTAGAGAAAATTTGCAGAAGTGTTTTGAGAAAATTTTTAGTAATGAAGCAAGATCCAAGCAATAAGTTTGAAAAGAGGGGAAAATAAAGAATGTGAAAGGAGATGGGTGAGAAAATAAAAAAGAATGAAATGGAATGTACCAATTTGAACTTTTAAAGTGAGCGAAAAACGGGTACGAATAAAGAACATTTTAAGTTCACTGAGCAGAAATAACTGAGGAAATAGAATTTTTGTGTTCAGAGTGCATGTTTCAATAAAAATCTTTCAATTTTTTTAATGGTGAATGAAACATAGAAAGAATAGAATAAGAAATTTAAGAAGGATGAGGTCGATTTCTGATGTATGAGGAACCTCGCCCAGTGCTAATTTTTTACTATGATTATAAAGTTTTGAGTAAGAGTGAACAGGAGGAAGTTCTGATTTGAATGAATAAGAAATGAAAATTTGACCATGAATCTTATATTAGGTCGTTCCGAAAGTTCTTTCCGTTTTTTCAACCTATCATAAAAACATATGGAATGAAGGTAAGGAAACGCTTCAAGTGCTATCCGACGCATTTTTTCTTCCTCTTTTCAAATGTCATATCTCTGTGTCGCCTGCTTTTGTGGTCAATGAGATAATGGGCGAAATTTCGAACCCATGGTTCTTACCATGTCCAACTTTGGCAATTTTTCACAACTTTCTTTTTTGACTTTCGGAGAAGCTTCAATAGCAGTCGGATAGAGTAAACAAAGTGCAATTTAATGGAATTTTTTGGCCATCTCAATTGGCTTCTCGGTATTTTTGAGACAACTTTTCCAGAAGTCTTCACTTTTTCGAAGTCACAAAACACACAAACGCTCCAAACATCAGCAAATCTTCGGATTTTGACACTATCAAAAGTCGTTTATGATTCACTATTTTTACAAAGTGACTGAGTGTTTACCGCTTCGAAATATAAGATTTCGCATTTTACGTGCACACCCTCAGGCGGGTTTAGAATCAAGAGTTATGAAAATTTTATCGCCAAAAACCCCCACAAATTGGGAAGAAAAATACTCAATAGAAAGAGGAGGAAAAGCTGCATCGAATGACACCTTAGTTGTGAGCCGGTTTAAGTTCTATGGTTCTTGGCATCACCTAAAGTGGAATTTGATAGCATCAGAAAAATAATTCTAAAAAAATTTTAGGGTTAGCAATAGCCGCCAAAAAATTCCATTAAATTGCACATTGTTTACACTATCCGACTGCTGCTAAGGCTTTTCCAAAAACCAAAAAAGAAAACTGTGAAAAATTGCCAAAGTTGGACATGGTAAGAACCATGGGTTCGAAATTTCGGCCATTATCTCACTGACCACAAGAGCAAGCGACACAGGAATATGACTGTTGAAAAGAGGCAGAAAAAATGCATCGGATAGCGCCTGAAGCGTTTTTCTACCCTCATTCCAAGTGTTTTTATGCTAGGCTGAAAAAACGGAAAGAACTTTCGGAACGACCTAATATATAAAGCTGAATGTCTATTTGTCTATATGAATGTATGTACAGTCTGCCCCAATCCCAACCAGGCCAAAATTGGCATGGCGGGAGTCCGCGTCGCTAGGCTTTCGCGGTCACGCTCACGTCCTGCTTCTCTGCTCTCTCTGCAATCCTTTTGCTCTCTCCGACAGCGCGCACGTGCAGCGCAGACCGCTAGCGCTGTGAGCGCGCAAATTTACGCCGATGGTTCCGCCTGATCCCGAGTGGAGTGGACTGCATGTGTGTACGTATGTTCCGAACAGAAAATCTTATTTCTGAACCGATCCAAACAAAACTTTGCACACATACACTTCAGGGCGGGGCGGGTGTTGTAGGCTGCTTTCGGTTATCGATCGATCTCGATTTTATCGATTTTTGCAAAGTTTGAACTACAAGGCTGGGAGTTGCCACAGGGGGCTAAGTGAGCATGCTAGTTACGAATTTTCCATTGACAGGGCCGGCGGAGCCAATTTTGCCAGCTAGTGAATAAATAAAGGAACATGTTTTGAATAACTGTATTAATAAACGAATATTATAAAATGAGATGGGATAAAAAACACAGTGAAAAATAATATGTAATGTATGAAATTTGTACATAGATTAGCTATTATGTTAAATGAATAAATGAATTGATTAGAAAACATAAAACATTGTCGTTCTCTCCTAACGACCTTACTACCTTCCGTTAACATTGAAGTGTTGACATTTTCCATGAACACAACAATCGTGCAGGCCACTCCCCTACATACACTCTTCCCTCCTTCAGATAACACAGGGCCAGCGGCACTTATGCAGGGTGAGTCTGTGCATGCTAATATTGAGTTATTAGCAGGAAACTGATGGAAAGTCATCCGTAGAGTTGTGAGAAGGGGGGGGGGAGGTAGAGAGAGAGAGAGAGAGAGAATGCGGCAAGTTTCATGTGTACATATGTGATAACGACCCAAAAATTTGTTTACAAATGATGAATTAGTTTTTCTGCGAAAAAACTAACTGTGAGCTTCTTTAGGCCCCGCACAGACTTCACGCGATTTGATCGTCGCGACTGAATCGCGACGAGACAACTGTTACAACATCATTCCATGCCGATCAACTTGCATTTCGGTTGTGATACTTTTCCAGCCCGAAATTTTTTGAATGTGAAATGAAAATGAACGGAAATGTCGGCGATTGAGTCGGGACGATCAAATCGCGTGAAGTCTGTCCGGGGCCTTAGGTGTAAACAATGGAAAGAGAACAAGTAAAAACGGCAAAAATAAGATAAAGTATTTGACGTGATTTTTAATGTCGGACAAGAAGAATCAAATTATCAAATCTAATGGGTTTGTTTTACACTTAGTCTTCCTCCTCCCATGTACTTTCTCTTCAAAAATGACCTCGCAATAACTGAGATAAGGAATTCCAAAGCCAAATTGAGATTTCATTGCTAGCTTCAGGCAGTCTTATCTCAAAAATCCTATGTGACGTCTACGTAATACTGTGAAAACAACAAAAAAACTAACCCCAAACGTCTTCTGGACGGCAAGGAAATTAATCTATCATTTTATCTATCTGCTTCGCTTGACAGATGGCATTTATCAAGGAGAAAAAAAATCGCTTCCAGATGCTGTTAATTGGTGATGTCACATAAGAACAGTCTTCAGGGAAGGACTTATAATGAGCCGCTTAATTTGAGAAGCTGTGTGGAATTTGTCCGTTAGGCCTCGAACAGAGTTCACGCGATTTGATCGTCACGATTCAAGACTTCCATTCATTTTCATTTTGCATTCAAAAATTTCGGGCTAGAAAAGTATCACAACCGAGATGCAAGCTGGTCGG